GTGTTCGGGCAACGTGTGGGAGGAGGAGAGACAACTTCTGGTGCTGGGTGGGCTGGGGCTCGGTCTCATGTCCTGGCTCATAGAATCATAGAACCATAGAATGGTTCTGGCCCCACTGGTGGACCTCCTGATGGCACTGGTATTTCTGGCCACTGTGGGATACAGAGTGTTGGACTGGATGGGCCTTTGGCCTGATCCAACATTGGCATCTCTTATGTTCTTATGTTCTTTTGGCCCATCCAGTCCAACACTCTGTGTCACACAGTGGCCAAGAATACCAGGTGCCATCAGGAGGTCCAGCAGTGGGGCCAGGGCACTAGGAGCCCTCCCACTGTTGCCCCCGCCAAATATCAAGAATACAGAGCATCTCTTGCCCCAGACTGAGAGTTCCTATCTATACCTTGTGGCTAAGAGCCACCGATGGACTTCTGCTCCGTATAAGAACATAAGAGAAGCCAACATTGGATCAGGCCAATGGACCATCCAGTCCAACACTCTGTGTCACACATTGGTCAAAAATACCAGGGGCCAGCAGGAGGTCCAGCAGTGGGGCCAGGACACTAGAAGCCCTCCCACTCCCCTCCCCAAGCACCAAGAATACAGAGCATCCCTTGCCCCAGACTGAGAGTTCCTAGCTATATCTTGGGGCTAAGAGCCCCTAATGGACCTCTGCTCCATATAAGAACAGAAGAGAAGCCAATGTTGGATCAGGCCAACAATCTGTCATACAGTGGCCAAAAATACCAGGTGCCCTCAGGAGGTCCAGCAGTGGGGCCAGGACACCAGACGCCCTCCTACTGTTGCTCCCCAAGCACCAAGAACACAGAGCATCACTTGCCCCAGTCCGAGAGTTCCTATAAGAATCTAAGAGAGAACCTAAGAGAGCCAGTTTGGTGTCGTGGTTAAGTGCGCGGTCTCTAATCTGGGAGAACCAGGTTTGATTCCCTACTCCTCCACTTGCACCTGGCTGGATGACCTTGGGCAAGCCGTAGTTCTGATAAGAGCTGTCCTTGAAAAAGCGCCGTCTCTGTCAGAGCTCTCTCAGCCCCACCTACCTCACAGGGCGTCTGTTGTGGGGAGGGGGAGGGAAAGGAGTTTGTAAACCACTCTTAGACTCTGAATGAAGGGCGGGGTATAAATCCAATCTCTTCTTCTCTTCTTCTTGTTCTCCTCCTGTTCTTCTTCAAATGTCACCCCCTTTAGGCTCTACCCCCCAAATCTCCAGGTATTTCCCAACCTGGAGTTGGCAGTCCTAGAATGTCCTCCTCCTCCTTCTCCTCCTCCTCCTCCTCCTCCAGACTACAGAGATAAACTCCCCTGAAAAAAATTGCTGCCTTGGACGGAAGACTCTGTGGTACTATACTCTGCAGCAGGTCCCTCCCTCTCCAAACCCTGCACTCAGGAGGCTCCAACCCCAAAATCTCCAGGAGTCTCCCAACCCAGAGTTGGCAACCTTGAAGGAGGTGAGAGGCAAAAATCAGGACTGGGGGTCCCCTACACCACTCCACAATGGCAGAGCAGACCAATGGCCCCTCCTGTCCAACACTCTGTCACACAGTGGCCAAAAATCTCAGGGGCCATCAGGAGGTCCACCAGCAGTGGGGCCAGGACACTAGAAGCCCTCCCACTGTTGCCCCCCCCCCAAGCACTAAGAATGCAGAGCATCCCTTGTCCCAGACTGAGAGTTCCATCTATCCCTTGCGGCTCAGAGCCACTCACAGACCCCTGCTCCATATGTTTATCCAACCCCCTCTTGAAGCCGTTTATGTTTGGTGCTGCCACCACCTCCTGCGGCCGTGAAGTCCACATTGTTATGTATTGAGCCTGAGCCATCCCTGATTGTGAACCTTGAACTGGGCGAGCTTGCTCCCCAAGAACAATTGCTGACCAGATTCCTGGGATGGACCAATGGATAAGCAGTGTAATGTAAGTAGCCTATCTTTGGGAGCTCAAACCCTGCTGGGTGTTCTTGCTGTGTTCCTGAAATCACCGAATAAACTAGAGCCGATCACTGCAATGCATCCAGAACCCAGTGTTTAACACGCATGTTAACTCTGGTGCTCCTCTGCTTTTCTGGGAATGGTGCTCTCAATAAGGCAGCTGCATAGAAGCCCTCTCGACTCACCTAGGGGGATTTTGTCAGCGTCGACGTAGATGTTTAACATGAGTGACATCAGGACGAAGGCGATCGCCGGCCCAAGCGTGGTTGCCGCAAAGATGATCCCTACAAACGGGTGGAAAATGGAATGGCAGAGTTAAGGGACCATTTCAGAGAGCAGTCCTGTTGGTCTGCGGTTGAAAAGCTAGGTTCGAATCCAGAAGCACCTTTGAGAACAACAAGATTTTTCAGGGTGTAGGCTTTCGAGAGCCAAAGTTCCCCTGATCAGCTATAATGGTCGAAGGCAGGGGTCATTTCCTGCAGGAGCACACAGGAGCGGAGCTCCGGCAGCAAAGAGCCCAGGGGGCGGGCACATGCAACAAGCCCCACCCCCTGCTCCCAGCAGCCCTCAGTCACAGGTAAGTTGCAGAGCTCCCCCCCGCCCCGTGGGCCAAAACAGTCCAGTGGCACCTTTAAGACCTTTAGGTTTTATTCAGGTACAAGCTCTCCCTCCTCTGTGAAGGGACAGATCTACACGCCCCCCCCCCAATAGCTAGGAATCCAAAACAGTCCAGTGGAGCCTGAGCGGTGGGTGTTGCCTTCTGACACACTTCCGGTGATGTCAGGGGGTGTGGCATATGCAAACAAGTTATGCTAATGAGTTATGCTAATGAGCTCCTGCACCTCTTTTTCTACGAAATGACCCCTGGTCGAAGGGATATAACGCACAGGTTGCCTTGGAAATCGAAATGATAAAACGGAAGAGAGGGGAACGATGTAAGCTGTTGGAGTGAAAGTCAGGCTAGCTGGTGCAACTGCTTTTCCAGGGTTGTTGGTTGGAACCCTGATGGAACCAGAGAATATGGCTCGGAGACATGCGCACAATCCCTGACTTGTGAAAACTTCAGTCTAGAGCAGAGGTGGCCACACTGTGGCTCGGGAGCCACATGCGGCTCTTTCACACATATTGTGCGGCTCCCGGCAGGGCGGCTGGGGAAGCGAAGGAGAGGCATCCTTTTCCTTCCTCCCTCCCTCCCTCCCTCCCATCTATTTACTTTCTTTGTTTCTCTCTCTTTCTTTCTTTCCACCTCTTTCATTATTTCGTAAGAACGTAAGAGAAGCCAATGTTGGATCAGGCCAATGGCCCATCTAGTCCAACACTCTGTGTCACACAGTGGCCAATAATGCCAGATGCCTTCAGGAGATCCAGCAGTGGGGTGTCAGCTAGCTGCCATTGTATCTGATGTTACCTGCTTCACATGTCTTGTGCTCTCCCCCCCCCCTTGGGTTTCTGTAGCTTCTTTA